AGTCTTTTCAACAGCCGTAGCAGACTGTGGCAGCACTGTGTTTTGGCTGGATTAGATTTATTCTAGCTAACAGTCAGAGATGAGATCAGACTGCAAAATTTGGATGCAAGGTTCATGTCTAAGGGTTTGGTTGAGGCTTTTAGAAGAACTAAAAACTGTTTGCAAAACTGAAATTAGAGTTCAGACTTTTAAGCTAAACCCTCCTCCTTAGAGTTCAAGTGCAGCTGAGCCCATCCTGTTAGACAGCATGAATAAATATTTTGCATTTGCTTTCCATCTGATGCAAATTGAAAAGGCAGTCACACATTCCACAGTCTAAGAGAAGTTTTGCAGATCCCTAAAAGCATGTTTAACACTAAGGTAGGATAATACTTGGGAGTTATATAGCACTTTACATCTTCAAAGCGCTGTATGAACATTAACCCTCACAGCATCCTTGTGAGGTAGGTAAGTGCTAATATCCCCATTTTAGAAATGGGGTGAGGGCCTGGTCCCCTGCTGTTGTAACTTGGCATAGCACTGGCTCTCATACACTTGTACCTTTTTACATCAGATGAGGACCGGGCCCCAGAAAATTTAAGTGACTTACTTACCCAAAGCCACAAAAGGAGCAAGCATGGATAAAAGGAAGAAGAAGTACCCAGGAGGACTTCTGCCATGAGAAGTCATCAACTTCCCATCCTCTTCCAAGAATGCAGTTATGCTGCCTCTGCTTAAAAGAGCCCATCTGTATCCAGAAACCAAGCAAAGAGAAAGAGGCACCTGCCACTGAGCTTTACAGTTGCTGTTTGCTTTGATCTGTTTCTTCCAGAACAGCTCCCAAAATTACCATGATAGCAAGCTGAAAACATGCAGGTGTTGGTGTCAAACTATGGGACCAGAAAAGTTTGGAAAGCCATTATAAAATTCTGTGAAGTTTGTCCTGGGAATTTTATATACTTGTGTAAAAATGTATCAATTACCTCCACTGATTACAGCATGAAACCTTCAGCAATCTACTTAAAAGCCATGTTAAAGTAATTCTTAAACCAATCAATCAGTCTTACAGTTGCCTCAGTATGGAGGAGTAAGAAGCCAGCTATTAAGCACAAATACAATTTTCTTGGTAGAGTAGGAGTAAAGCTGTTAAAATCCTCTGGCTTTGTTCTTCTCAACCCACCATTTCTCCACCAGCTTCACTCTGCTGACATCAGTGTGACTGGCACAGCCCAGAAGCATTACTAGCATTCAGCAAACCAGTTGCACTTAGCATTGCTTCTCTGACTTCATTGGGAGGTCTGTGTGAGGAGGATCTATCTACAGAGAGAGATACAAGGCTGAAATAGATGTGCTACATCTTTTATATGTCCGAATAAGGAACCAAAGGATCTCCAATAGGGTGATAACTACAGAAAGGAAAGAGAGCAAAAGTAATATCGGACCATGTGTGTAACCTCAAGTGACCACAGACAGGAATTGCAGAGGAGTGTTTGAATACAGCAGTGTGAAAAGAAAGCCTCTGTACTTAGCAAGCAAAGGAGCTAGGGCCAGGCATACTACACTGCTGAAGTGCTTCATTCCCTCTGTAATGTTCCTGGGCCAAAGACTGGGTGCTTCTCAAAGACTGTGCCCCTGAAAAGGAAAAGAATGTATCAAACCTTGCAGTTTTACAGTGCAAAGAGACAATAGGAAGGTCCACAAAGGCGGTGCCACAGACAGTCACATCATTCCCACTTCTTTGCACCCTTTCAAAGTAAAGATTGCCCTCGATGGCATTGAGGGAGCAGTTTTAATCCCAAGAAAAGGTATTTAACAGACTGTCAGCAACTGCTTGGTGTTTCCCAGGGGTTTATGAAACTCAGAATTGTGTCAAATCAGCGTCCACAGCAGCTGGACAGCAGGAAAGAGCCTCCAGGAAAATGGTCTCATTCAAGTAATACGGATTAAAAGGAGGAATGCAGTGCAGAAGAGAGATTTTGAAGATTGAGAGCCTCCGCTGGCAAACCTCAGAGCCAGCCAGGACTCTCGCTAACTTTGTATGCTGAGGGCTCTGCCTCAAATCCCTGGGAAGGCTGAAGCTGTTGCAGCACTGGGGCGGAGCCAGCATGGCTGGCCAGGATGCGTCCCAGCCAGCCTGCTCCAGGTGAGGAGACAGCAGGGGAACAAAAGCCCACTTGGGCTGCACGTGTTTCTGCCATCCTAGCTAGAGCCACCCTGAGACCTCTGCCACCAGAGACTGCACCTCTGATGGCCAGTGGAGAGGACAGGCCTGCTAATAACACTTAAAAGATCATTTTCTGCAAGTATCCAGTGGCTGATGGTGGAGCAGGGTAACAAAGCAAGCCAAGATGAAAACACATGCAGAAAAGTGACCCAGCCTCTTCAGGAAATTGAAGACTACTGATCTCTAGAGGCGAAGAAAGAGATAACCAAAATTCTGATTTCTAAATAAAGGTTACTTTATCACACACACACTTTACTCAAAGCAAAAGGAAGCTTGGGGCAGGGGGGACTCCTCTGAAGAGCTGCCAGCTAAGGACTGAATGTGCTGGACTAACCCATGACAAGGAGCTGTAAATCAGACTGAAATGTGCTATTTGCTCACATGCTGGGAGAACGGTGGGGTTCACCCCAAATGCTTAGATTTCTTCTGAGCTGGGTCAGTCTGTTGGAGGAAGAGATTTGCAAACAGTCAAGCTGAGTAACAGCAGCTGACATCCACAGAGAGCTACACTGCAAGGTTCAAGCTGCGGCCAGGAGATAAGCTATGCTGATGAATGAAGATGTTTCATGGCTCTGAATTCCCTTAGCAATTTACTCCAGACAGGCCCTGGTGAGCCAGTGAATGAATACTGACAACATTACACAACAGCATTAAAGGGAAGAGATTACACGGGGCTGTGCTATTTACAATGCTTTCCCTCTCAATAATGCAGCTGACCTTTCTGATCTCTGTCTGAAAAGCAGCAGATGACTCCATGGGGTCAGGATGATTAACCTAGATTTTTTAAATACTGGCTACATTTGCACTAATGTGGAAGTCGTGGGGAGGTAATGCCTATTCCACACCCAGTCCCACCATGCGAGGCCAGGGAGGAGCAAGAGACTCTACACCTTCCAAAACCAAGGGAAAAGCTAGCAGGGTTGGTAGGGTTTCCTCAACTGCCCCCTGACCCTCCCGCACTCCTCACCAAGAGGAATTCCTACTTTGCTGACTGTGCCAGGGAGTCAGTGCCAGGCTTTCGCCTGGAATGGTCTGGGCACGCTAGGTATGGAGTCGGTGGTGATTTTCAGCCCATGAGGTTGGACTGGAGGGCTGTTCCTCTGTTTGCTCTGCCCACATGAGCACATGCAAGGGGCTGTTGGGGCATGCAAGGATTTGAATCGTCCTGCAGTCTGTTTTGGCTGTCCCTGTTTGGCTACAGGATTGAAGAGGTGCAGAAACCCTCAGCAAGCTTCCTTTGCACACTTGAGTGCACTCGTGTCTTAAAACAAGGTGTTGGGGAAGCATCTCAGCCCAAGGGAGCAGTCCTAGGACTGACAGAAGGAAAAAGCATATTCAAGATGATAGTTTCAAACAGAAACAGAGCTTACTGGTAGATATCCTAAATAAGATGAAAAAATATACATATGATCGCAAATGAACTTGGATTAAAAATCAGGGCAACCTCTTTTAAGAGAATCTGAAGTCAGAAGTAATCTTGCTTCAGCAGATGGGCAGACAAACCAACGAAAGAATTTAGATCAGAATTAAACAGGCTGTGCAAGCCCTGATGGCTCTTACATTCTCGCTGCATCCATGTGAGTTCAAGAAGGAAGCATCAGGCACTTCAAACACACAGGACAGTGCTTTTCAGGAAGTTCTGCTGAAAAGAGGCTTTCCAAAAACAAGCAGTGCAAAGCTGATTGATTGTTTACCACCAGCTGGCAAAATACAACAACAATCTACATCCAAAATCAGGGCCTTGACCACAGGAAGTGCTCACACCATGATTCGAGAGAGATACTGCAAGCAGCAGTACTGTAAAGCTTAAAGAGTATATGAAATATTATTTGTTAGGATACTGGGGAAGAAAGTCATAAAGGTTAGATTCCTGTCTGCTGTGCTAGGGACAATTAGGACATACATTAGTACGACATGCTTAAAGTCCTGCTGTAAAAATCAAAGTGCCTCTCATGCCCATTACATCTCAGCTGTCACTGGTGGCTGCAGACACCATCTAAGTGCGCACGCATGGTGGGAGAGAACACACTGGCCTGGCTACCTAGATGTCCCTGAAAATCCCACCAAACTCCTAGTTCTGCCACATGCAACGACGCTGACAGGCACCTGCAGACCTGCCCTGGAGCAGTGATCAGCCGCGATCAAAGCACACAGCACTGCATATCAGTGCACTTCTTGCTCTGTGCTCTCTGCTTGGTGTCTTGCTTTCATTCTGGTTCTGCTGGGGGTGGCCCCACATGCTGCTGTTGACTCCAAAGCTCAGCCCTCATCTGGATATGCTGTTTTTTATGCTCTACCTCCAGGCCTCCTTTCAGCAGAGGCAACAGCTCCAGTTTGTGTAGTGAGTCTGTAATGCACCAAAAGAGACAAACACCGGTTAAGTTCATTTTTACCTATGACTTTACAGAGAGCTGTGCCTGTCTGCCTACTATTGAAAGCAAGTTTTCTAGCACAGTGCATAGCCAAACCTCCTTTGCATCAGCCCTCTTCTTCCCAGACATTCAGCATCAGTTTCAAGACTAAGAAGTAAAATGCAGTAGTACAGCACTTCCAAGGAAGAAAAAGTTGAGTGAGTAGCTACTGCAGGGACAGTCTAAGCTTTCTGATGTGGACTCCACACTGAAGTAAGCTGTATTCAGAGAAAGCCATTGAAAAAAAAGCCCCAAAGGTAATGCTTCAAAGAAGCAAAATCAACATCACCAATGTGCCTAGAGAAATGGAGATCTCTCTCAGGGGTGAATGCAGCTACAGCACCTGAGATATAACCCACATTGTTCACAAACTATTTGCACTCCACCTAGCTTCGCTTTCTGAAGTCCTCTTCATCTCTGCTCTCTACAGCTGACAGTGCAATAAGCATTTGGGCTGCATAGTAAGTAGCCATGATGATGAAGCGCGAGTAGGGCACAGGAAAGCAGAACTTGTTAAGTGCAATGGTCAGATCTGACACCATAAACAGCATCGCGCCGATGCAGGCCGAGAGCTTGGTCCATGTCCAGAGGTCGTTGCACAGCTGCATGCCGGCCACCGCTCGCCAGCCCATGAAGCCAATCAAGGCAATGTAGACAGCTACCAGGTAGGTGAATGGGCCTGTGAGGTAGGAGTACAGGAAGGCATAACAGGAACTGCAAACAAGGCCCATCAACAAGCCGGCTTTGAGGTCCAAAGGCTTCATGCCAAAGGCTGAAGAGTAGAGGATGTGTGTGATGGCAAACATCAGCAGACCTGGAAAGAGGCATTGACATAGCAAGTGTCACCTTTCATCAGTGACTGGCAGTTGGTAGCCCCCGAAAACATGTAGCTATATCGGGTTTTAAATATACCACAACAAGCACAGGCTTAGATGTCCTTGCAGTGTTACAACCCTTAACACTTTCAGTGGGAACCATACTCACCACTTGGGACCATTCTGATATAAAAATCCATGCATAGGAGATCAGCCTTAGCACCAAGCTCCCGCCTTAAGAAAAAGCCCCAGCACATCTGTAACTGCAAGCCAAGTACAACTCTGTTGTGATGCAAGACTTTTTGCCGAGAGGCCCGGTGAACTAAGCAGCTGCAGAAGGAACAAAGCTTGTTTTTCAGGTGGTTTCTCCTCCCCTGCTTTGGACGGAAGGGTGGGGGCAAGGCAGACTAAAGATCACCCCCTCTTAACTATCCAACATGTTTTGCTGTTTTGCTCATAGGTCATGTGTGAAACAGGAAGGCTGGGATAAGAGCAGTGTAGGAACAAAAAGTGAAAAAAGATACCAATCCCACTGAACCAGACAAAAAGCCTGACCGTATTTAGCCACAAACCCAAAGGCACTTGGGGACTAAATCTGGCTTCTAGTCCATCTCTGCCCATAGCTGGGGGAAACCTAAGTTGGAAAGAAGCAGCTGGCCTATTTCAGGAACTGCACCAATGTGATCTGCCAACAATTTTATGGCTATTTGCAAGGTTCAGATGAACCTTAGCTGGAATCATTCAGTGAAAATAAAATGCTGGCTTCCCTTTGAAGTCCAACACGCCTGAGAAATGCCAGATGTGGGTGTTGGAAGGTACTGCCCATATGTTATTCACTTGCCACTAATCCATTTGACAAAAAAGTTGCAATGTGTTGGTACAGCTGCTGACAAGACGACTAGTTGTCGTGCCAATTGTAGATAATGGACCCCAAACGGAGTCCAGCTTCTCTGGTCCTCTGGTTCCCAGACCCCACATGGTGCAACTGCAGGCTGTCCCACTTTATCCTGGCAGAATTATTAGAGTACCTGGAAGTTTTCATGCAGCTCTAAAGCATGAAATGGAAAAAAGGATCTGGAAAGCCGAGTCCTCCAGCAGGACACTTGTTTACATTTAAAGCTTGATGCTGTGGTATAAAGGGCAGTCACAAAAACCTGCTGCTGGCAGATATTTCTTCATCCTAATACTCTCGTGTTGAAGCAGCTCAAAGAAGGGGAAGTGTCTCCCTGGCTTTGGAGAGGACCAGATTGGACATCCACTGAAAGATCAGCAGTGGTGGGATGAGAGGGGAACCTGCAGGAGGGAGAGAGCTGGTGGGGATCTGGTCTGCAAGGTTACGCTAGAGAAAATAGTGTGAAGGGGAAGGAAAAGAAGTGCAAAAGAGGGAAACAAGAAGTTGATGTTTCACAGAGCTATTACACATCATGGGCACAGCACTGAGGAAACCGAGGAGGGACTTAGGAGAAGAGCTGTTTATAGTGTTACAGTGCAGGACAGGTTAGAGCCCTGCGCACAGTAAGGAGAAGGTTACTTTGCTGTAGCAGTAAGGGGTGGTTTTTCCTTCAGTGGCATTATATGGGGAGTTCTGGGATGGGGAACTGGAGAATGTGGTGTTGTACTTCATACAGGCAGCTGGCAAGGAAGGAGAGGAGGAGAGGAGGACAGGATGCGGCAGCCAAGCAGAAGCCCAGAAAGGCAGGAGGAGTTTTGTGATACATGGCAAGGCTGATCACAAACAAGGGAGACAGCTCCCAGGTTTGCTCATTCAACACCCACAAATCAAGCCAGGAACTGGCAAACCTATGACGGCTGCACAGGGAGGGGGTATATTTCTCTTGCATTTCTCAGCCTTTGGCTCAGCCCTCCCAACCACATCAGGCAGATCAGCCCTTCTCCTCTCTGTCCACTTCCTTCCCCTCCCTGCCTCTGGGGTTTCCCCTTAGTCTTGGCAGTGAGTCCTTTTTGTTAGCCCCTGTCTTCTCCACCAAATGCATAAATTGTTTCTAAGTGCCTGCTATCAAAGGAGGTGGATGTTAACACTGTAAAGTATCTTCTACATGCAGTAAGACACTAGTCAGAAAATAGCATGTTACTAGTGGACTGAAACAGCAAAAATTAAAAAAAGTCAGGTGTGCCAGGAGTAGGTTCCCAGACTCTCGCTTCCCTATAAAGTAATGAACAAATGTCCTTTTATAAATTCATTGTCTCAAAAGCTATTCAAATGAGTCCAATTCCCAACTGTTTTTTCAGCCTAAAAGCCATAGAAATCAAAGAAAGTACATTTTTATCTAATATTTCCTCTTATTTCCCTGAAATTTCAAATTCCCACTAACAATAATGTCAAAAGTTTGAATATTGTTAATTGTCAACAACAGCAGCCTGGTGAGTTTTAAAAAGGAGAAAATATGTTTTGCAGGAGAGGTAAAGGATGAAGTGGGGTAGTGCGCTTTATCTGCTAACAGTTGAAACACAAATGTTAATGCTTCACTATGGAAGACAGTAGCTCGGATTAGCACAGACTGAAGCAGGCAGGAGACAATCGGGATAAAGGCTGAGATTTTCAAAATGCTCCAAGAGAGCTTTTCTTCTCCTTAAGGAGAAAAATGTGTCTAAACCCACAAAGTAGCACTTCCCAGTTGTAAGATTAGGGTCAAAAATCCAACTTATTTGCAGATTAAAACACATTAACCAGATAGATACTGAATTGCTGTGACTGGTTGACTTTCCTCTAGCGCTAAATTGGAGAAGGGACTCAGAGATGTCCCAGCTATGTGGGAAAGGAGAAGCTCAGCACAGTTCAAGTAGAAAAACGGTCATGGTAAGAATCAGGCCTTGAATGTTTTCCAAGCCACAGCTCAAGGAGCAACTCCAGGAGGCAAAACAGAAGCACGGGCAGTTGGGCTGAGGTGACAGGCGCTGAGCCAGGTACCCCTGTTAGGAGGAGGCCCATCAGTGGGAATGCCAACACTCAGCACAGAGGGGATGACACTGCAAGAGAAGGCTGGAGCTCCTCAGCAACATGCCCAAGGTTCAGCCAGATAGATTCAGTCCTCGGGGCCTAATCTAAACCCCACCAAAATCGGTAAAAATCTTTACATGAACTTTTAATGAGATTGGGATAATCCCTTGGGAAAGCAGAATTAAAACCAGATTCAGAGCATTTGGCCTTCATATCTGGCATTTCACACACTACCCTCTCATCAAGAGCAAGCTTGTGGGAATCTCAGAATAAAACTAAATACTGACCTCCAGAGAAGGGGGAAAAACAAGTCTTTGACTTTCAGAGCTGACAACAGCAGAAGTCAGAAAGTTCCCTCATCTCATCACATTTTCCAGTGGGACAGTCACAGAAGCCAGTTAATGCTGGGTGTTACGTGAGATCCCTGTGCTGGATAAATTAACTTCAGAAACCTCACCAGTCAGTTTAGTGAAGGACTCAACTGCTGATGATTTCTTGTGACAGTCCAAGGCCGGGGAGAGTTGCTGCAAGGCAGGTTCAACGTGGCTTTAAATGATTAATCTAAGTCATTATGTTCTAGCCTGCAAACTAGCAAAATGAAAAAAGCTTGTTTTTCTCTGAGAGATGTGGATCTTTCTGTAGAGAAGACAGGCCATTGTGGTAGGGTTTGCCCTTGATTCCCCATCATTTACATGCCTTGCAAAACGAACATGTCTTGTACAACAGGCTGCATGATTCATACTGATGAACCTACACGTACAACAAGATTTCTGATGCTTTGGTTTCTAGCATCCACTTAAGCACCTCCCCCAGGCTATGGGCTTGTTTATCAAAACATAAGGGTCCTCTCCACCTGTTCTCCACTGAGGACCTTTGCACCATGTGTCCTATTTCTGATCCTTGTAGAGGAGGGCTGACAGATGTCCCTGCAGAAAGATAGGAGGCAGATACTTCCTGTAGCTTCATGGGTGCTATTGAGTGCCACAAGCATTTCCTTCTCTTCCGCAGGGATTCTGCCCATGCTACCTTCCCAGCTCTAGACAGCTGAGATGCTGCGAGCACATACCAGGGAACCAAAGCTGCCCCAATTACCTCTCTGACCTCAAGAGAAGTTCAAAAGAAAGACTCATCCATGGTGTGACTCCTCTAACCACGATGGATTTTAGTCAAGGGATGAGTGCTTCCCACTGCCCAGGGCTTAAGCTCTACATGAATAAACAAAACACATGGCCCAGCAACTCATTACTAAATAAAGAGGGTAACAGCTGGACACTGCAGCATTCCCTTAGGACTGACACCACACTCACCATGAATGAAGTAGCCCTGCTCCTGCCAGATAAGAAAGGCGTCTCCCACTGCCGAGAATATGAGTCCCGCTAAGATGTGGCTGGCGCTCCGGTGTGACACTAAGAAGTTAATTCCGTGAGCCAGAAGGAAAACCCACAGGCAGAAGATGGGCAGGCATTTGATGAGGGCACTGAACCAGGAAGGGCTGGAAGTTGGCAGCCAGAGGACAAAATAGACGCAAGTAGCTTTAAAGAAGGGCACCAGTTTGGGGCCTTCACTCTTCACCTAAAAGAAACAAACATTAAAAAAAGATAAATTAATAGGATAATCAGAAGTGGAATAACCTTTATAACAGAACTGTCATCTTCCTTTTGAAAGCTGCTCTTTCATGTATATTGTAGGCTAGCAGCATTTCTACCCTGAGAAAGACTGGTTGAACTTGACCATGATCCTCAGACTACACTTTTGTAACCCTCTCTTCTGAAAACACTTCTTGGCTGGCAGGATGGGTTTTGGGTGGTGGAGATGGAGGAAGTTTTAGATACCTTTTCTCTTTATTTGTTCTACTGAAAACATTTAGGCCATCAGTCAAACTTCTCTGGTGGTTCTTGCCACCTATCTTGTGTTTAGACTAACTGCTTTTATACACCTCCTTTCCTGTAGCTGTGAAAATACTGGACAAACAAGCCAATAAAAATGCAAATCTTCCCTCCCATTTTAGCAAATCTTCTTGCTTAGCCAGTTGCAGATCATCCTGTGGATACAACCTCTCTTCTAACCCATTCTCTCTCCTGCCCTGTAGCCTCATGCCTGGACCTTGCTGTTGGCATCACCACATGACTTCAAAACCCATAGCATCAACCTCCCAGGTGGGGATGTCACTTCCTCAGCTGACTAATACCAACATCAATCATGTGTTGCTTTGTTCTAGCATTACACTAATAATATACTGCCCATATTGCAAGAAACGTTTTGACTCAGGGCTCTACTGTGTAGACACAAAAATGCAGCATGAGCACTAGGCTACTCCTACGTAACAAAGCCACAGCAGAGGCAGGGTGCAGAGCTACAGACTCCACAAGCTGGGTTTGCTTTTAACATACACTTAGCTGAGACCACTCTGGACAGTCATAAGATAGACACTACGTTCGCCTGCCCTCCTGTGATACTTCTGCATTTTAGTGCAGGTAGGGAAAACCCTGCTTGAGAAACAAAGTTATGATTTTATTTTCTCCTGGAGTGCAACTGAGGGTCAAAACAAGGAGCAAAGGAAGATACTGCAATTGCCTCGTGTGCCTGCCTGAGCAATGTCCTGGGGTCTTTTAGGAGGCCTGTTTCCTCCTGCAGCTAAGGCAGTGCAACCTCCAGAGCTCCCCTGCAAGCAGGCGTTCACTCTCAATCTTCTCACTCCTTTGGTCAAGCAAGATTCAGTTGCTTAGTATCACAACTTCCCACTACTCATGGCCAAAGCACACAGAGGCCTCATGCACTGGAGGAGGACACAGCGGCAAATTGAGAGGCATCAGAGCTGGGTTCACACTGCAAAGTCCATCAAAATCTGAACATCCATGTGTGACACTCTGGGGTTGCTTATCTCACGCAAGGAGCCCATGCTCCAAAAACCTGCAAAAGAAACATTGGTCTTTTTTTCCAGATCATTTGGCCCTGTTTCTGCTTTCTGCATCATGGGACATTGCCATGACACAAAAACAGCATCAATCTTCCTTTGATGCACTGTGCCTTGGTGCAGATACCTAGAATGGCTGAAGACTGCACAGCAAATATCTCCATGCTTACAGTGCTCAGGTAATAAAGCCTAAAGTCATCAAAATTCAGGAGCTTTTACAGACACAAGCAAAGGGAGTGAGGTGAAGCTGGAAGACAGAGGCAGAGGCAGTGGAGGGCATCTTCACATGCAGTATCTAAAAAGGGAATGCAATCTCAGAAGCAGCAAGACCATAAATAAAGGGCATCCCAAGAAGACAGTGCTTTCAAGATTGTTCTCACATCTGATGGAAATTTCCCCAGCATATCAGCAGTTTCTTAGCAGTAAAGTATTTCATTATTCCTCTATACATTATTCATAGGCTATTGCCAACACAATTTTTAAACACTCCATTAAACAACCAGGCTACACAATTCACTCACAAAAGGACATCAGCAAGCCGTTAACTTTCTTGTATTACATGGGGAGCCCATTCTGAGTCCTCCACTTAGGTTGTCTAAATTAATCACCATTTACCACTTCTTGTCTACATTCCTTGGGAGAATTCTGGCAGCAAATAACAAATGAACTTGAAATAAAAGTCATAAAAGCCCATGTAGTCTCACAGCACTAGGGGTGCCTGGGAACTGTAAGTATCATAGGGGGAAGAGTGGAGCCAAACTTCCCCCTTCTTCAGACCCAGCACCTTGCCCTTCTGAAGTGAGACATCAGGCTCAGATTATCCAAAGCCAGTGCCTGGCTCCAGCTCTGCCTCCTCCCCTTCTGACTTTTTTATTAAAAATGTAGTTGATCACATTCATCCTCTCACAGTTGCAGGCAACAGATGACAGCGCTTCTGGCAGGCTTTCCTCCTCTCCCCCACCAGTTGTGGAGGATCCCCACCACGCGCACGAGCCAGAGATCTTCAGCACGAAAAACTATCAACCTCCAGAGATACAAAGTGTGAAAGCATTTTCAGCATCAGCAGTGCACCAGGTCCCTGTAACAGTCTCGGCTAAGGTAGGTAGTTTTGTACCTCTGAAAACAAAAGTTCATTCTGAAAGATGTAGTTCAAGTTCGCCTTTGTTTGCAACACATCACAGAGGCACTGTTAGAAGCATACAGGAGAGTATTTGGGTTAATAAACACAGGAAGTTTTATTTAATACCTCATATTAAAAGAAAAACACCTGCTAGGAGCAGTTACCATTACAATCACAGCTTGCCCTCCCCTGTGTGCATGCATGATGAGACAGGTTTTAATTACACTTGTCATTTTTCCCAGGAACCTTGCCTTACTGAATATAAGATATGCATGTGTGCAGAAAGATTATGTTTGCTTGGTAACCTTAAAATTACCATTTCTTACTATTTGAATGTGAATTTTCCAAGCCCAGCTAGCATTATTTTAACATAGTGGTTTGTAGTATTTCCATCCTAATAACAATTAAGGAATTTTTCAGGCATAAGGGGTCAGATTCCAGTCTCAGTTTCCATAACTCTGAAATTTACAGTGTTACAGCATCCTTGTATAACAATAACCTCATATATCTAGAAGGTCTACAGGCTTCTCATCATTAATGCTTTATTCTTTTACATTTTTTCTACAGGTATACTTCAAATTAGTTATTTCCAAACATGCCATTGCCCATTACTGAATGCTGTATCTCAGTTGGAGCCCCTGTGCTGGCTCTGACCACAGTGAGTGCCCCATGAGAGACACCACTTGCTGATACAGAGGTACCTGCATAGCTCAGGGCTGGGATGGTGTGGCACTGGAAATACTTGGGAGATGTCTCCCAAAAAACACGGAGGCAACCAGAGGCTGAGGCTGGGTGATTTTCCTCTGTTTGGATGTATGGCTGAGGCTTGGGAAGAGGTGATGGGGCAGCTTGCCACCTGGAAGACAAGTCAAGGCTGGTATTGGGAAATCATGTACCAGCATGAGTGGAGGCTGTGGCTTGAGGAAAGCCAAGCACATAATCCATGACTGGACTTGCCTGTACCTCAGGGAAGGGAACATTATTTCTTGACTCCATGGATAAATTGCATCAAACCAACCAATCAAACCACCCAGCTCCTTTGCACCTGTGTCTGAAAGACAGAATGTGAGATGGGGCTGTGCCATGGTGTTGGAAAAGGCAGTACTTGATGCAGGTGACAAGGTTCTTTTTGCTAATGTATGTGATTTTCATGGCTTTAAGCTGGGTTTTGTCATTTTGTTACAAAATCTATTGCATTGTCCTTCCCACTTCTTTTCTTCTTCACTGTTAGTTTACGCTGGGCTGTAATGCAGTAAAGAAAATATCTTGAATATAATGACAAGGCAGTATTTCCAAGTTTTGAATTTCTAAACTTAGCATAATTTAGGGCATTTTCTCAACTGCTATGACTACTAAGTTACTTAGAGTCTTTAAAAATTAGTTTAAATTGCTGTAAAGCTACTATAGCTGTATTTGTGGAATTACAGTGAAAGTATCATTTAAGAAATTACCTGTATCCAACCAAATCCAACTAAACCCTCCAAGACTTAGGCAGACTAGGAGGAAGTCGTGTCCTGGCTGTCACCGAGAAATTTTGGACCAGATGACTTCCAGAGGTCCCTTCCAACCTCAACCATTCTGTGATTCTGTGAACTTCAAACAGAGCCTGGTATTGGCACATGCATCTCAGGGCTTGGATACCCACCTGCCTGCTAGGGATTCAAATTTAGGTTTACAGTATCTCTTCTTGTTTTGTCTGTTCTCATTCTGCTCCAGTTTGAAAAATTGCTCACTTCCTTAGGGCTGTTGTTCAACAGTGACAGATTATACTATCACACAAGTATTCCAACCATGCTGTGATTTGGTATTGGTGTAAGATGTCTTGAGAGGTTAGGCTAGCCAATGAAGAAACACAGCTACAGAAGAAGTGGCAGACCTGAAGAAGTAATTCTGAGTAATAAGGACTGACAAGAAGTTCCCAGTGTGCAAAATACATACAAGATGTAGCACAAAAAGATGACCAAAAGCTTCATACAACAGCTCCTAAGCTATATCTGCAAATACCAAGCGCCCAGGGGTCCCTGCTGGATGATCTCTTCTTGCACCTCCCTGCTATGCAGCACTGGGAGATGCTCATGATTCACATCTGTATAAGCCAATATTCACTACAGGGTATGACCTGGGGAACATCTGTGCTGCTCCTCAGCACCACAGGTGGCCTGTGCTGACTGCTGTGGGCATATAACTGAGCCAAAAAATTTACAGGTAGCTCCTCTACCCCAGAATAAGCTGCACCCACAGAGGCATGGCTACATTTGTAAGCCAGTGCCCTAATTTTCTTTAACATTTTGAAGTCAGTTGTCTGTAACTACATCGCAATTGGGATGAAGAAAATCCACCTCTCACAGGGAGGGAGACATCTTGCGCCTGAGGTACAGAAGAACGCCATAAGCTTGTTGCTTTGAAATGTTAAAGTTGGACAAAGTTCACTGTTCCTAAGCCTCGCACTAGTCACAAGAAATAACATGCAGTATCAAATAATGCTCTTCTCTCCACAAGTCCCCTAAACTGGCCTGCATGGAAAATGAGTATACAGCCTCTTCCAGACACCAGCTGTGTGCCAACGTGCTGTGGCTTACACCCATAAAATCTGTGGCTGTAAAATCCTGCTTTCCAGGAAAAGTGTTTTAAAAAGAATACTCCAGCTATTCCATTGAGCAACACCTAAGCACGACTGTGCGCACAGGCCAAAAAAAGCTGGGCCGTTGTCCTCCCCACAGGGGAGCTTCTAGCAGCCTCTCACAGAAGCCACCCCTTCAGGCCCCCCACTACCAAAACCTTGCCACACAAACCCAATACACACCCATCCCTCCCAGGAGCCTTGTCTGGCCAAGTACCATATTGTATATCCATGGCTGAGCTGTTTCTCCTGGCTTTTGGCATCCTGCGTTGTGGATCCTGCCTTGGTTCTGCCCTACTGTGACAATAGCTCTTACCCCCAGTTGTGTGCCGAGAAATATTTATGTGGCTTCGTTGCCATGTATTATGCCACCACTGCAAGCCCATGGCTCGTGTTTCTCATTCCCCAGAATATGTGGCGCTCTGCAAGGCACTGACAATCCTCTGTACAATCCGAGTTACAGAGGGAGAGCTGTGTCACCCTGAGGATGGGCCACAATTAGGACAAAGTATATATATGTGCAACAGGCTTTCATCTACGGAGCAATGGGGAAACAACACAATTCCCCATTAGGCTGACCCTACAGAAAACTTATCTTTGTGCTTAACCAAAATGGGTGGGCCATAAGGAGAAGCCCATGTTTGCACAGATCCTAGCCAGAGGCAGATGATTTTCTCCAGATCTGAATGAACTATCAGCTTTTGCTTAACCAAGGAGGAATGCAGCAGTGCTCAGTAATTCTTGGCCACAAACCCACATGAGCTGAGTGCAAAGCCACCATCCTCCTGGGCTCACTTGCACGTAGCCACCTTCGCTCAGATGGTGCAGCATCAAACCTTCTGAATGTGTGCACACTGAAACCGAGATAAAAGAGGGAATTTTACAGTTGGGGGGCAGATGTGTGTGTAATAGGTAGGATTCAGCTGTTCGGTACCCAAATTCACCATTTACATCTTTCCTATCCTGGGTGGATGCAGGGGCTCTCACAATGACCAGCCCTGGTGTGGGCCCTCGCCTGGCCACAGAGCAAAGGCTCCAGCGGCCACTCTGAATGCTCAGCTCTGCATCCCTGCAGGGCAGCTCACAGAGGTGAGAGAGGAGACGGATGAGATGTAAAGGGGCCAGCCAGCTTGCACTTTTCACTCCACAGCGTTGCTGGAACATTAGGGCTGGCTGGGACAGCCCTAACCAGTACTCTCTGGTGAGCATAGGTGAGCACAAAGCACTTCACCTCCAACTCTACTCTCCTGCAGGAGCAAACATGCTCCTGGGGGAGAACCGATTCCCTTTTGTCAAGTAAGGCACTGGCTCATACATGTCCCAAGTGTTCCTGAATAAAATTCTGAGGAAAAGTGCTTGATTATGGAGAGTGGTGAAGAGTTACTGAACCAGCCAATCAACCTGCCTGAAATACCGTGTTGGTGCAACGTAATTTGTGCAATTAATAAGAGGGTTTATGTTTGTGTTGGAGGTGCCTCGGGCCAGGCATCCAAGGCAGATGGCTCCTGAACAGGATCCACATGCTGTGGGAAATTCAGAGTGATAGATACACCCTCCTCCCCTCAAGTGGAGACAAGATCGTAGAGGGTCCATGTAAACTTGTAAAATAGCTAATGAATTACCCAGAAGATGGCACATGATTTGCCTTTGGGAGAATAATGTGTGTGATAATCCTCTGTCTCCATCATGCTTCTGCCATGCAATGAGTTTAATCCTCTGTCTCCATCATGCTTCTGCCATGCAATGAGTTTTGCCAGGCCTTGCGGTGCTTTATTGCAGCTACTGCACTCCCCAGCACAACTCGGGGCTTCCATTTCACCAACAAGGGTAATGCAGTGAAACTCATCTCATGCTCAGCTGTCCAGCCGAACCAGTTCACAAGTGGTCAAAAAATCATGGTTTTGTCTGACAGGAGAGCCTCCGTCGTTCAGCACAACCGAAAAGAACAGGGCTCAGCCTGAATGCTTCCCACCTGCAAAAGAACCATCATCCCAGCTCAGCCACAGGTGGCAGGAGCAGTGGGTCCAAGGCAGCTATTCCACCCCCAGGGTCTCTTCAACTCCTCCTGCAAAACAGGGCCAGTTTATTGGCTTCTCTCATCCCTCCCACTATGCCAGCAGCCTGGGAACTCTCTTCCTCCTCCCAGTTAAGCAAAGTAAGCTCCAACCGCACTTCCCAGCGTTGCTCCTCAATGGACTGACACAGAGTTGAGAGCTAGAAACACTTGACTTCTTTTTCTAAAGACCAAGCTATGGCTATTTGCCAGAAAAATACAATTAAAAATTTGGCACAGGCCCTCACAGTCCTTGGGTAGTGAACTCAGATATATTGCTGCACAAGTTCTTGGCATCAGAAAAATCACTCTGTGGTAGAGGCACAGGGGAGCAGGCAGTGGGTGAGGATTAATCAAACTGGCATCTAACAAGGGCCCCTGTGCAGGGCTGAGCTGCTCCATATACAGCTGCATGCAGAAACAAGAACCGCATCAAAAAGTTTCATTTCCAAGCCAAAATCTTACCCGATTTGCAGTCACATCAACATTCAACCTAATCACCGGATTAACCATGGGGGGGATGAAAACCTATCAGCACAGAGGTTAAAATCTTCCAAGCATGCATCTTCCCCCCAGATGCTGAAAGAAGGGAGGAAATTTGGAGTGGCAGTTTCCCCGCAGCCGCCTGGCAGCAGGGCAACGTTTGCCTGCACCAGCCTCTCCCAGGGGAAGCCACAGCTGAAGTCCCTGCGGTGCGGCAGCATGCCTGGGCACGGCGGGGACATGGCACGGCCACCCAGCTGAGCAGCAGCAGGCGAGCGTCGAGAACGGGACGTTTTGTACCAAGCCAGCTGGGGAGCACATGAGCAAGGCTGATCGTGTCATGGGAGTGACAGTGATGAGAGATTGTAGTCGCGGGTGTTGCAAAGGTCTCTTTCCTGATGTTCACTCTCCGAGTGTGATTTCTCCGCCACAAACTGCTGCCTGTCCCTAGCTGTAGACACTAGAGACAAGAAGAGAAGCTCAAGAGAACTCTGTGCTTTATCTTAGCCATGCTGTGATCTACCACCAAATCCCCTATCCTGTGTTGTATGGGAGTGAATTTCTGAAGCGGATTGTCTAGGATAGGTTTTAGGGATAGAAGGCTGCACTGAACACACAATGTATGCCAGATATTTAAATAAATGGCTTGGAAAGGTAAAAGAGAGAAGCATTAGACAAGCTTTGTGGCTTCTCCAGAGGACAACAAAATAGCTACAACTGTGAATCCTTGTGCAGTGGTCAGGAACAGAGATGAGTGGTAACAGGCAAAGGGGGCAGGCAGCCTTCACTTCTGCCCCTTCCCAAGTTAAGGCAGGAGAAGTCAAACTGCTGCTCACATAGAAATAGCAAAGCCTGTGTTAGCAAAGCTGCAATACGAATAAAACAGCAGTCCCATCTTGTCTTCAGGTGCTTAATGAAGAAATTAAAAAACGCTGGCTGCTGAGCAGTCACACTGACGGTGCTCACGGGGCTGCTGCTGAGGCCAGTTTGACTCAGCAGCCAGTGTGACCTGGGAGCACTTGGACATCACAGCTCTTTGCTGCTATACCCACAAGTTAAAAAAAAAAAAAAAGCATCTGCAAACACTGGGGATGTAAAATAGCATGGGAAAAAGTCACAAATAGGAAACTGGAGTCTCACCTTCAAAAGACTCCTTGCAGGAAGCCTTAGAAATGTGAGGGAACAGTCCTGTAACAGGCTAAAGTAGAGGCAGGAGGCTCGAGCCAAGGAAATAAACTCCACCACATCAGGGGCTTGTGCCACGTGTTGCATCAGGAGTCCACTCCTGCTTCTTGCCTTTTGACATGACTTTGCTCAAAGCTATCTTAAGGCACTGGACCACAGTGTTCCCTCCAGCAATTAAGGAAGTTACAGCATCCATAAAGATATCTCTTGTACTGAATAGAAGAAGAAATTATGTTAGCTTGGCTAACTGTGGGCAACAAGTTATGCAACAGTGTCTCTGGGACTTCCACTACGTAGGACCTACTGCTATCAGGCCAGGCAAAGTGAGATACCACTACACCAGCTAATACCTTACAAAGTCACTGGGGTGTCTGCCCTTGGCTTTCTGGGACTGCAAGGAATGCTTCCAAGATGGCGAAGCCTTTCTTTAGCAGATACTAACTCATAAAAATCAAATTACAAACAAACACATTTCACCCTGAACTGAAGACTCAGCTTGGGTGTATGTGGTTTTGCTTGTTTTGTTTGGGTTGGTTTTGCTTTTTTCCATTACCAAGCATCATCTGTCCTGTCCACCAGACTGGCACAGAACCACAGGGCTATTTTAAAAACGTTTTCTGAACCTGTGGTAGTAATGATTGATTCTACATCTGAGGCAATCCTATAGCTGTCAGCAGTTTTGAAGATTGCCTTCTGAGTACTGTCAGTAATGTACCTTTGCCAATGACCAACAATGTTAAACCAGTGAAGAATTCAAATGTCTCTGCAGGGCTGTAGGACCTGTCACAGACTAATGCTTTCAGGGTTGTCCATTGGCTCTCAGAAATTACAGTGAAAAAATAGCATTTGCCTGCCAGCATCTTATCTCAGAGCAAAGATTGCTTTTACCTCCTGAGATTCCAGATCTTCCTTTTTGTGTAGCAGAAAGCAAGCCTCTCCGAACATTTCCTTTGCAGTAACACAAAAGAATCCCTTGCAGATGTTTAAAAAAAAACTGAACCACAATGGGTCTGTCTTTTCATTTTGCTCATCAGAGCTGCAGTGCTGCCACTGCTAAGGGCACGCACCCTTCCTCAGTGAGCAAGGTCAGGTGGGGCTGCATCCCCTAGTGCTGCCCGGGACCTCAGGAAGATGCTGTGAAGCCATAGGGAACTTCAGGAGCCAGCTAGCCAACACCCTGAAATGCGCAGTCAGTGGCTGTCCCAGGCAATTCCTCTCAGGATGGGAAGGGGTAGTTATTTGGCTTGTCACACTAAAGTCCAGATAAAAAATTTCTCCTGCTTATGGAAAAGTCTCTGCAACTCATCCTGGGGATGGTTTCCAGCCTACGAGCACACGTTCTCAGGTCACTTGCCATTATTTATATCAAACTCTTTTGTGAAAGGGAATGTAGATTTCTGTTACCCAGGAAAAAGTCATGTTAGGTTTTATGTTGCTCTAAGTATTACCTTGGAGGGGCTGTGTAAGCCCAATGCACTGGCTGTGGGGCACAGGGCCACAGCAGAAAGCCCCCTTGCAAGGCCCATTGCCGCAGACAAGTGCCACACACTCACATCTGCCCCACAAGCTGTGGCAAGACTGGGACCTCTCTCCAGTCTCTCTGAGATGGGTGCAGACCCAAAATAAAATGCCCCAGGCAGAAGTGTCAGTTCTTTCCTTGTCAGCACCAAGACCAGGCTGAGCCTCTAGGTAACAGCAGTGAGGGGCGTGCACACAGAGTGTGTTGTCCCCAGGGCTGAAATCTACCTTTTGCCTTCACTCTCCCATTTCCAGCCTTATTTGCACCCCACAACCCACCACAACATTTATGTACTTGTTGGAGGCCACCAGCCACCCCTTTGTTTGGCTGCAGCTGGGGGGATGCACGAAAGAATGGATGCTCAGGGCTTGGCAAAGCTCTACCTGGCCACATGCTGCTTTGCCGGAAGGGATTGGTATTTGGGAGGGACGGAGGCACTTCCATCCAGAAGCAACTTCTTCACCAGAGAAGACCTCATTTTACCTACCATCTATGGAGAATAATGCACATCTAAATGAAGAGCATTGCAGGCATTGATGCTGTCACAGGCCCTTATGATAAGCCCTGAAGAGCTATTAGTGTAGCAGAGAAGGCAGGTGGCACATGCCAGGTTGTACCAGCCCTGCCAGCCATTCCCAAATAATGTGCCAAGGATGAAACCGCCTCCGGCACCAAAAAGGCACTTTTGCAGATCACCTTTCTGGCTCATACACCAAATGCATGCACACCTGGCAGCAGAGGTTTTTGCAAAAGCAACAGGAAGGCAGAACTGAGAAAGGAGGGCACAGAAGCTGCCAGTGGCTGGGAAAGCTGGCAGCTCTATGTAAGACTTCTGCTGTACAAATCCTTGCATGGGGCTGTAATAAGATCAGCAAAATCTAGCAAAAGCAAGCAGGGCTGTGCTGGGAAAGCCAGGAGGGACAGCTTAGCTTGTCGTCTGCCTAATGGAAAGCTGAATGAAATACTCTACCTCAAATCATGTCATGCAGACTGAAAGCTTGTGAAACACTGATGTTAAAGAAAATTAGAAGGGAAAATAGCAATGTACCCCAACAAAGATGTCTATTTAGAGATGTGCCACTCTGGTACCTTATAAAAAAGCAGCAGCCCTCCTTATGTTATCATGGGACCAATATGCTTTAAGAGATGGGAGGAGGTAAGGTCAAAGTATGACAGTGGAGTCACAGGTTTTATTTCCAAAATCTGTTCTTGTGCCAAGATGTTGTGACCTGGGGAAGTCAGCATCGGACACAAATTACATGAAGATAAATTGGACTTTCCTAGCCAATCTCAACAGATGTGGGGTGAGCAGGTGCAAACACTAACCTGCTCAAACACTAACCCACACACTCTCAGGATTCACACTAATATATCAAGGGTTTCACTTGCAAAACCCCTGCTGTAGTGGTGGGGGAGGGGGCATATACAAATGCGGACCACGCTCACAAATGAGCATGCAGCTGCTTTAACAGTGTTATGTCCTTTATATTGAGGGTGCAAGTCCACAGATGCATGGGACATTAGCCAAGTGGAAATTTCACAAACATCAATTAAGTGATAAACTTGTCATCACGCCCCTTTTATGTCAGGGTTTCAGAGGAAAGCCATGCAACTTGCTTAGTTTCTCTTGCAATGGAGTGCAAGTCAGCACTGCTATCTAAGCACCCTGGCTGGCTCAATTTATGCTGTAACAAAAGCAAAAGACACAAGCAAATAGGGATACGGCAGCCAAGCTATGGTCTCAATCGGCAAAAGCCCAGTTCTGCTGAAGCCATGGGAGACAAAATGACTCATGTAAGGCTGAGGATCTGCCCAATGTATCTAGTATGTGCTGAAAAATGTGCAGCTGGCTTAACGTCCAAACTCAATCTCGAACAACGATTCAATCAGAGGGTACATGCAACTAGCAGAAATGCACTTATTTTGATACATAATCAGAAATTTAATGCCTGATGCCAACTGGCACCATATCTGTCTCCAAAGCTGCTGAGGGGCAAAAAATGAAACCTCACCAAACTTGACAAAAGTCCTAAGGCCAATTCAGTAACATGGCTTGTCTCATCTCTCCTCAGTCTGGGAAAGTACATGTTTTGCAGTACTCTACAGGAATTAGTTTTTGGGAGAAAGTGTAGCCTGCTGGTAGCAACAAGGTATTTCCATAACCTCACAGCAAGGTGAATCAGAACTGCCAACGTCCTCATTAACAGGCAGATTTGCAACACAAGAGTCAGCCTACAGCATTAAATTAATGCAAGAAGAGACATAATTTGCACTTACCCAGAGAGAAACTGCACCCTATGCAATTCTGGGTCAGACGCTGTGGTGT